GTGTGTGTGTGTGTGTGTGTGTGTGTGTGTGTGTGTGTGTGTGTGTGCGAGTTTGTCTTTGTAAGCATATATTCATCAGAAAGTGAAGGCGTAGACAACCCCAACCACCACAATGTTTCCGATGGTGGCGATGATGGCGATCCATAGCCAGATGGCATCGTTAGACATGGACTGCGACTCATCCTGCTGGCCGTGTACCGAGGCGGCAGAGGCAGCTCCATGGACACTGGCCGAGGAGTTAAAGAGCGAGTGCTCGCCGCTGTAATCGTCATTGGGCGAGGAGTCCATGAAGGCTCCCGTCATGACTGGGATCTAGGAGGGGAGGAGAAAAAGTAAAGAGAAAAGTTGAAATTTTGGCACTTCTTGTCAACCTTCATTTGAAGGAGAGAGTATACGGAGAGAAGTAAGACATTGCACATCTGGTTTTTATTAGGGCCGTAGCTACTTAAGACACTGAGGACATGTCCTCTGTATTTTTTCAAGGAGATTGGGGGTGTCACATTCCACATTTAAAACCTTACATGTGGTGGCAGGATATTAATTATCCTGATTCCAGTACTTTTAGAATATAGATAAATTTGACTACTTTTAGTAATTATTAAGACAAACATCTTAAGTAATCTTTTAAATCAAGAATTCAGTATTTCTTCCTCAGAATGTTGCTCCTTGCAGTAGGCCTACGGAGAGAGCTTTAAAACATCATCAGATCCAGTTCGATATTTTGCCAGTACATTGGGTCACAAATAATCACAATGTGGGAACATGGTAAACATTATACCTGCTGAACATCAGCCTGTTAGCATTATGAGCATATTAGCATGCTGAAGTTAGCATTTAGCTCAAAGCACTTTATGATGCCATTTTTTTTCTGCGTTGGTTTGCTCAAAAAAGAGCAACCATTTAAAATAAAAACACTTTACAGTCCTAGTGCAGGGAGTAACAATCGTGCCTTTCCTGACAATTATAGCACGCCAGATTGTTTCCTATAGTCGTGCAATAGCAAGCCTGAGTGCTATATTAAAAGAAATAAGAGGTAGCTGCATCGCGACATCATTAGTTAATGGTTACAAGGTTTCCCACACAGGCATGCAGGGTCACTCCTCTGTCTGTGTGTGTGTGTGTGTGTGTGTGTGTGTGTGTGTGTGTGTGTCTTTGCATGTGTGTGTGTATTGAGGAAGCAGTGCTTGATTAACTTGGAATGAATATTTCAGATGTGGCAAGTGAAAATTATTTATTGCTTGGGACATTCGGCACCCTGCAGGTTAGCCATTCAAGCAACTGCATGCTTTCATGTGTGTGTGTGTGTGGTTGTGTGTGATTATGGGTATGATTGACAATGAGAAATGCACGAGAGACCCGTACCACGCTCAGACTGGAAAACAGACTTTGATGAAGATGTTGAAAAACAATGCTAAAAATACCTCGGAGGAATGAACACAGAAATTCTGTCTTACTTGCTCATTTGCTCGCCTTCACTCCCTCTTATCCCCCCCTCTGTCTTTCATGTTCACACAAAGACGTTACCCCACTCACACATACCTCAGGTCTTCCCTCACACAGGGGAAAACACTGTTTAGAAAGCATTCTGCTGCTCTCTGTTTATTGGCCCCTGGTGGTGAATAATGACATGACACATCCTGTGATGCACTTGCTGTTAACATGAGCATGATGAAGTCCAGCAACCTGGGTCTCCCTGCCCCCCACCCAGTAACTGCTGATTCCTCCTGCTACAACATCTCATATGTACCTTTCATCCATTTAAATTAAATAGTCAAAAGCATATTACATGTAGATGGTAGGCTATTTGAAATGAGCATCAATGGGAAGAGTCTGCTCACTGATGCCAAGGCACAAATTTCTTTAAATGGACAATTTTTTGATTCCCGTTGGATCTTTATCAGTAAGATTGATCACCACACCCATGCCTGTAGGTTAACAGGTGTGGTTAACCATCCAAAGTTCCCTGGGTGAAACATCTACAACAGCTAGCAATAAAAACATTTCAAGACATACACAATAACTCACAAAGTGTGGAAGTAAAAAGACAACAAAACATCAATATATCAGGTAAGTCAGTTAAAGGAAACGTTAAAATATTGTACATAAGAAGCATGAAGAATTTATTTCAGCAGAAAATCTCCAAACACATACATCGTAGTTTTCTATTAACATACATGCACATATTTTATTTTTCTGATGTATATCGTTACATTGAACAGCACAATTAACTCAAGCTGGCGAAATCTGTTTTGTTATTTAAATTTTGTCTTAAAAGGTTAGCCCATCTGACCACTCTCATCAACATGCTGCTGATTTGATTTCTTATTTATCAAAATCCTACCGCACGATCTGAAGACACCACAATGTTGACAACCTTATCCTGCATTCAAAGCTACATCTAGCTTAATCTAACATTCACTCAGATGATAACTGAAGCTCTCAACCCTGTCTGCATTCTTTATATTTAAATATTTTATTTATAAGTAGCTCATTGTCCACAGGAGTCAGCTGTTTGCATAAATGTGGAAGTGTACCATATAAAATGAAGTGGATACTGGGAGTGTGTGTAAACATAATCTAAATATTTGATTGCTTGCTATTTTTGGCAGAGATGGTGTTGATGACATGTCAGTAGTATATCATCATTTTTCAAGGGACTTTCTCCTCTATCCAGTCATCCAAGCTCACATCTCCCATGTGGATATTCCGCGTGTGTTAATGGAACAGAGGGGAAATAGAGACGTCGATAAGGAGCATCCCAAAGCATCTGAGCACTTATGCACTCCATGAAGGTCATCCCCGAAGCATTGCTGACAGGTGACCCATGCTCGTTGACATATATAAATGACTTCAGTAACACAGATATTCTACTGGACAAGGTTTTTTGGAAACTGTACAGACTCACTTCCCCAGCATAACTGTAAACTAGTGGCTGAATGGCTTCAACAAGCTAATCCACACAGAAAAGTTGGTACTACAAAAGAGCCTCCTGTACGCACAGCTTAAGCAAAGATGAAAGTAGTCTCATTAATAGGTTGTAGTTGTTTTAACCTTTAGATTAAAGCTGAAGTTGATCTGGTTCACATTCAAACTAAAGCATTTCTTCCACCGTGTACCAACAGTGGAAGGCAACAAGTTGGTGCCTGTTACTCTTCAAGGATAAAGATCCAGCAAATGTGAACCTCGTGGGACTTTGTTAAACTAATGTTGACCTGTTTTAATTGTTTAAGCACACCAGGTAAACAAAAGGAAGAGTGGCATTTATAGATCTTTAGATACAAATTTTAGATGTCCTAAATTGTATGCCCCTATTGGAAAACAAACCACACTAGCATATTGTGATCAGTTGCTGCCAAATGGTGGAATGATAGAGGTAACTTATTCCACAGAGGCAACATTTACACTTGTCTCATATCCAAAAATAGTCCAGATGAGATTTAAAGCACTGCCATTTACACATAGCCTCATATATGGGTCTTTTGTTGGCCAGATCACAAATCTAATTGCAATCTGTCGCGGTTTTCCTGGGCTACATGCAAAGCAGGGTTGGCCCTATCCCAGTGCAGAGGGTGGTGGTGATGCAGCTCAAGCTGTTTGGTAACTGCTAAAACAATTGAAGAAGCATGATTTCTGCACTTTAGTTACAACTACTGTAGCTTCAGCAGCTCCCGAGGAGGTTCAAACTATTTGATTTCAATCTGTCTCAGATGCTTCTTGGATACATTTAGACCTCGCTTTTTGGATATCCAGTAGCTTACCTATATCCTCCAAAGTGACTAAGAGTAAAGTAGTTCTACAGCGAGATAAACACAAGAATCACAGCCAAACATTGAATGTAAGATATGAGCAATTTGTGTAATCTTGTGTTGACTTCCATCACTTAATTGTGAAGGAAGAAAGGAACCATTAGCACAAGCACTGGTTTTAGAAATCTTCCAAAGAGACTCTTCCAGCAGAAGAAAGTAGTTGAAATTAACGCTATTGAGAGAAAAAACGTTTACATTTTTGATTTGATATTGTAGGTGATGAGTGAAATGAATGGGATTAAAAATAAACAACTTTCATTCAATTGTGTATTATATGGAAAACAACTATTGTCCATTAACCAACACAAGAGAAAACTCCCGACTTGCATATTTCGCACCTCCTTGGCTCTGAGTGATGCCTACACCTGTGCGATACTCCAAAAAACCCCAATCTATGGAAGACGATACAGTGAAGCTTCTTTCACTGTATGATTTCACCTGCTCTCACAGCTTTGATTTATTCATCCCAGCTGTTCCTCCAGCTGTGCCATTCACGGGTAATCACAGTAATTGTGAAATAGAATGGACTCTAATTGCCTCCTGTGGGATATCGCCATAAGTAAGTGCTCAGCGAAATGGCTTTTGAGAAAACAAGCAAAGCCCAAATAAATGTCTTTGGGTAGTGGGGAAATCAAAACATATACCCACAAAAGCACTCAAGCATTGGCTGTTAAGACGAAGTCAGAGCGAATTACTTGTTTTTCTGCACTCGGGGAGAATATGAGGTAAAATCACAAAATCGATACTTGTGTCCTTGTGGAGAACAAACCTCAAGGTGTTCTCGAGAGAACAAATTGTAACGGAGAAGACAGGCACAGAGAGGCGGACCCCCGCTGTGCCTTTCGCACAATCAGTAAAAACACACAACTGTCACAACCATCTCTGCTCTATTGACTGCTTGGACGGGTGTTATTGTGGGCTTTGTCTCCATATGATGTCATCTTTGGTTTTTATGGATTTTTATCCGACTTTTGTTTTGAAATCACACTTTAGCCATGACGTTGGACCAGATTACTGTAGGACACAAGGGCACTGAACATTGCACTTTAAGAGAGAGTGTTGTACGGTACTTACTGCAAATGTACTGATTTCAAAGACTTTACTTCTGGATTCATGTTTGGTTTTGAAATGAGCAATACCCACAGCTATTATATAAAAAAGTTCCCTATATACGAAATAAAAGACAGTACTTGCCCTGTAGAGAGGAGTTCACTCTCTAGGGCAGCTCACACAGTTTTAGACCTCACAGCACTACACGGTCGTATTCATGCCTAAAAGTTTGTGCAATATCCGTTTCATTTTCGCTGCTTCCAGACTTATCTGTCCAGGGATATCAGTGGTTTCACAGAGTGGAAAATTAACTGTGGCTCATGCAAGTCTGAAAACATTTATGAACGCTGCTGCGGTGCTTTGAAAAAGACGTATACCCCTTGAGCTTTTGCCCATTCTGAACTACAACACGAGTGTAAGTTTTCAAATAAATGGGCAGTATATTTTATTTACACG